TCATGCTCTCAAACACATTTCAAATTCAGCATTTTTTTATACCAAAGGGGAAATGGATGTAGTAACTCTTAACAATCCAATTTTATTTTTTTTTAAAGATCCCTTGATATAGCTGTGGGCAGAAAGTATCAGCGTTGACTCTGGGTTGTCCATATTGATTCATTTTTTCAATAATTAATGTTCTTTAACAAACAGAAGTTATCATAGTACTATTAAATAATGCACAGGTGGTCTATACTTAGGTGACTTCTAAAAGGAACTGTTTCCGCTAGTTTTATTCAGTGCTATAAGAGTAAAACAGGACTGGATATACATAGAAAGTGCTCCTACTCTGTCGCAGAAGGTTGTAGCAGATAGCTACTCATGCTGAGCCTGCTTCTGCTGGACATTTCTTCCTGTTAAATGGGAGTTTTCCTTTCCACCGTCACTACATGCATGCTCAGTATGAAGGATGTAGTAGTACTACAAAGTAACTGTCCACAACATGCTCATCCAGGAGGTTATAAAACTGCAAGTCAGTGGCTCGAGCAATCTGCTGGGTCTCCTTAGATGGTAAACTTTTGAAAAATTTGAATAACAAAACAGCTTTTCACTGTATTGTTTGATAACTGGGGTCAATTAGAATGTATTTACTTATTACTTAACTTGAAATCTATTTGATTTAGTGGAATATAAATATATATCTATTTTAGTTGCAAAGTGCCTTGAGCTGATGTGTGAATTGGCGCTTTATAAATAAACTGAATTGAATTGAATGTACATGCTTGCAACGATTTTCAGATTTATATTTAAAAGTAAATAATCCAAAATATAAAATACATGGAAGTCTGTGGTTGAATTGTGACAAATGTTAAAAGAGCTGCAGGATTGTGAATGCTTTTACGAGGCATTGTATGTGGCTGGACTGGAAGCAGAGGTGTAGGAAATGTGTACGTGGTGCTTTGATTTTAATGCTGTTCTGTGACGCACAAATGGTGATGAGGAAGAGTCGAGGTGTCGGAGCTTCCTTCTCCTTGGTCTTGGATTTCCGCTGATGTGGAAGCTAGAAGTTGAATTAAAAGTGAGGAGTTTGAATTCACTCCTACTTGTGCTCCTGCCACCAGTTTGCTCCGTCTTCTAGCTTAATAGTGTTTGTGTATCAACTGCCAATGCCTTAGAGTGTATTTTGTCTGAGATATTTTTAAAGGAAGGTTTTGCATCTGTGAGTCACATCTCCTTAAAAAAGGCCTTTTTACTGTTGCCCAACAAGCTATGTGTCATTCCAGTGTAAATTTGACCTGTTAGAGCTCAGCAAACTGACATGTAAAAACTATCGGCTACAGAAACCTATAAAAAAGAAAGTTATTAAATGAAATTCTTTGGTCTGGGGTCTGTTTTTCTTTTTCAGATATACCCTTAAAAACCTAAAACTGTATGTTAAGGTTGCAATAACTAGAATACCAACAAATTGTATCGAAATGTATTATTCAGCAATACATCCATTAATGTTTTAAATATATATTGGATAGGAAGCTTGACACAACAGATTTACAATCTTGCTAAAATCCTTTTCAGAGTTCTACTTTTTTAGTATCGTTAGAAATCCAAACCACTAAAACCAAAACTCCATTTATTGTTCCTGTTTGCCATGCTATGAAGTAGCATTAACACTACAATATTTTGCTGCTAGCCGATTAATAAAGCAGCATAAAAAAAGAGTCATGTCACTAGAATTAGACTTAGATAGATTTATTTTGTCTTTTTTTAAACAAGTGTAAACAAAAAGAAATTTCTCTAACAGCTCTCTAGACATTTTTTTTTTAAAGTGCGGCCTTGAAAACAGTAAAAAATACATAAAATAGTAATATTCACATATGACTGTATATTTACAGTTCTAACATTTCATTTACTATCATTTATATGTTATACATATATATTTACTATTATCTATAATTCTAATTTACATTCACTATAAGTGAAACTTTCAAATGTATAAAGTAAGCATTAGCTTTATAGTGTAGGTAGAAAGTCTGGTGGGGTTATTCCCAGTATATCCAGGAATAACCCTAGAATACCTAGAATAGCGGGACAGTTAAAGCAGAAAATCAATACCAGAGTGGTCATTAACAGAGTAAAAATATTGGTTATCAGTAGTAATTCCACAATAAATAATGGATATTTTGAGACTGGCCCAAATGTATATGTTAGTACAATTCTACAGAGGTGTCAAGTAACGAACTACAAATACTTTGTTACTGTACTTAAGTACCCTTTTTGGTATCTATACTTTACTCCATTACTTATTTTTTCTTTCTAGTTTCTATTTTTATCATAATAATGGTAGAAAAAAAAAAAAAAAACAGGTGAAACTAAATATCCAATTTTTTCTGATTAATTGTGTTATTATTTTAAAACAATAGCATAACTGAGAGGCAAGAAAATTATAAAGAACATAAAAAGCTTTTCAAACGTCCTTCTGGTCATTATTTGTAAGCTAGCATTGGCCAAGGTTATATTTCTGAAATCAAATTTGTTAACATTTCCATCTCGTACATAAAAAGAAATACATATCATTAAGATTTAATTTAGGAAATCAAGACAGTAATTGTTTTGTTTTTACATATTTATTAGTATTCAAACAACAAAAACCATGTGTAAAAGCCTGGAGAGCTTCTCCACACTGTGTAATATTTCCTACGATTAATAAAATCAATAAATTTATAGCATGATTAATAGAAAACTAGAACTGTGTCTGTGGGTTGGGGGAAAAAGGTGGAGGTGAGAGTAGAGGGGTCCTGGGTGGTTACCTGGGCTTTCCAATTTTGTGGGGCCTACAGAGCTCTGCCGCCCCCTAAGTGGAGAGTAACATGAGGAAAAGAAAAAACAGAAAAGTAAATAAGTAAATACGTAAATCCTTTTTCTCAGAATTGTGACTGTAATCTCAGAATTCTGACTTTTTTTCCTCAGAAGTCTGACTGTAATCTCTGAACCGTGACCTTTTTCTCAGAATTCTTATTTTAATCTCAGAATTCTGACTTTAATCTCAGAATACTAACTTTTTCCTTAGAATTCTAACTGAATTCTGACAGCTAACAAACATGTTAGCATCAAGCCGTAGCCATGTCTGTTTTAGAGACTGACAGCTAACAAACATGTTAGCATCAAGCCGTAGCCATGTCTTTTTTAGAGACTAAATTTGCTCTCTTGTTTTAATGACCTTCTGCTCTTCCATTAATGAAACAACTCACATCTTTGTCAGTGAACCTGGGTGCTCCCACCTCTTCCTTCATGGTGCTCATCTACATTAAGATCCAAAATTCTGAGATTAAAGTTAGAATTCTGAGAAAAAAAGTCAGAATTCTGAGATTAAAGTCAGAATTCGGACTATTTTCCCATATTAAACTGAAATAATATTTAAAAATCAGTTAACTTTTTTTTTTTAGTGGCCCTAATCCTCTTCTGTACTGTTCACATCTATATACTTGTGAGAATTTTTCTGGATCAACATGGATCATGAACAAGAATTGGTCAAAGCTTACATGTAAAGGATGATGTATGTTTATTATTTTTAATTGACCTGTGCATCTCAGAGAAGCAGATTCGTTTCTCCCACTAATGGGCTCTGTTCACAGCTCCACTACTTCCTTGAACTTCAGTAGCTATTTGGTTTCCATTCTTTAATTACTGGACAGGCTGATAAAACCAGGTGTGCCTCGCTGGTTAATGAGGTTCTTTTCTTTTGACTCTCTTCTGACTTCTGCCTGTTCTCTGCTTTAGTTTTCTAAGTAGATTTTTTTCGCTCCTCTATTCAGCTGTTCTAGTCATAATCATTCCTGTTTTCCTGCACTCTCATTCAATCTTCTTACTAGGGGAGTGGTGGCCTAGTGGTTAGGGCATAGAGCTTGGAATCCTGAGGTTCTAGCCCCACTCCCACAGACCGCCACTCTGGCTCTCTGAGCAGGACCCTTAACCCCACACTGCTCCCTGGGCACCGCACAATGGCAGCCCACTGCTCCCCAAGGGGATTGGTTAAATGCAGAGGTAAATTTCTCCAATGTGAGATCAATAGTCTTCCTCTTCTTTCAATCTTACACTAAAACAGATAAATAATATAATCATAATCCCTTCTAAGAACATTAGAATGTACAACATAAAAACTTACAATTTAATAGTTAAAATATTTTTTTTGTTTTATTAGAAGTTGGTTATGCTTCTTAATTTACTTTGATAAAATGTTAGAATTATAAAAAAGAAATTAATAAATTGTTAATTTTTTTAATATTTTAAAAAAGTTTTAAAGAGAGTCATGTCTTTTGTAATTTGAAACTACCGCTCATCTTGTAGTGTGAAAAAATAGCAACACCTTAAATGAAATTATAGAGGATCTCATTTTGATTGCTGATATTACACTTGCTGATATGCAAGGTTTAGGTAATAGTATTGGAGATAGATTTTAAATTGTTTTAGACAACTCACAGAGAAAGTAACCTAGTAAATCATATTTAAGATTGGGATGATGACATTGTAGAATAAAATGGAATTTTAATACTTTAAATTATAGTGTACCAAAAATGTTTTACTATATATAAAAAAAAAAAACTTGGTCATACCACATAACCATGAACAATACATTGACCCAAATTAACACTAAAATCCCTTAATCTTAATAATTCACAAGGAATAATGGGTAAAAAAAACAGTGTTTGTGAAACTGCATTGGATGAATATTTTTTTTTTTACAATTTCAAAATAGTCTGTATAAATCCTTATACTTCCATCAACCCTATATAGGAAATTTAAATGTACATTATAAAGCCCAAGTTTTTATTATCCTTTTAATAACCAAAAAGAGCTGAAAAAACAAACAGGCAGATTTTAAAAGCAGGATAGTGTATAGATTGTTCTCATAAATATTAAAATAACAACTAAAGCTGATTTTTCTAGCATAATTGCTACAGAATAGAGAAAAGCCGGATTCAGCAATATTCAACCTAATTTGTTTTACAAAAAAATTGGACATAATTGAAACGCATCTAAACCCGAACAGCTTTTCTATTTTATTTTACCCTCGGTGAATTATTACATCACAGCTATAGGAAGTCAGCTAAACAGCATCTCAAAAAGAAACATGGACCATTGCTTTACAACCATTTCATTAATCTGTGATCCATTGGCTTTGATTTTAACAGTTAACTAATGTAGAGAGCAGTCTTTAGAAACCCTGGTCAGGTACAGTCTTTCCAGTATGTTTTATGATTTCCTTCAATTTTTTTTAGTATTTATAAAGTGGATGAGGTCAAGAAATAATAATTGAAACTATAACTCTGTCTTTTAAAACATTCACTGAAGAAGCTTTTTTTTTTTATTTGAAAGAATTTGTCTGGACAACTTTAACAGCCTTTAATAAAAATATTATGCATCAAAATTTCATGAAACACCAAAACATGAACAAACATTCAGTTTGCAGCACAACTTAAAAGGCAATAAATTAGCAAATCAAACTCAGCTCCAGGTAATAATCCCAGTACAATGAGCAAAGACAGTCTGTACATTTCATTTCCCACAGGAGGGGCTTCGTTTCTTTGTTTCCTGTTTGAGAAAATCTGTGGTATGTCAGTTCACCATAGCAAAACTTCCATAGTCTCTGTGAATTTAAATGTTTTTTTTTAAACCTGTCAGATTTCAGCCTCTACTGATTGTTTTCAAAGACGTTAAAGAAAAGTCATCTTTACTCAGGTTTAATTCAGGCAGGATAAGTCATGCAATATCATTGGTATGCAGGAATTAGCTCTCCGTCATCGGCCCCTAAAACCAGCTTATTTCTCTAACAGTGCAATAGTTAATACGTCCGATAGTTCCCCATTACATGGAGCTAAATAACTCTTTGCTGTGTCACACAATCAAAACGTGCATTAGTGTTTTTTGCTCCTGTATTGATGTAAAATAACCTTTGTAGAATTTTGTCCTCTTCTTTCGGTCTAATCACCATCTTGCTATAAAATGTTCTTCCTAACAGACAGAAGAAGCTGAAAAACGAACGTTTACTTTGCCTGAAGATGTCATTTCAACATACATCCATGGCTGTCATGTAGAAAATGTGCTAAACGTAGACAATGTGAGGCTGCTGAATGTAAACACAAAGCCTCTTCTTTTACTATGGGATATAAGGGCCTCAGCATTTTTTCATCTTATCCATATTAGTGTATTTTGTAGGTTTATGACACTTGATGTGTGATCAGCTTACTCTTTAACAAAAGTATTAAATAAAACTTGGTTGTAACCCCCCTAACAGTAAACTTCTTTCCTCGGTTTTTGCCTCCTTCAGTCCAGGTTGGGCAGCTTCGTCGCTTCAATCCTTTCAATGAAAGTTTCCGATTGTTGTAAACAGCAGCTATCCAGAAGGGACCGTTGGATTTAACAGCACTGAGAAGTCTTTAGACATGTAACACTTGGTATCAGTTTCAGAGCAGCAGATCTGTTTTCCCAGCTCTTTTTGGCACAAAAGAAATAAACATGTTATGAAGGTACAGATAGCAGAGTTTGGTTTCTCTTTGTGTGGTTTGCTGGGGCCTTCCAGCACATCCAGGTCCAGGGGGGAAGGTGGCTCTTCTCTTTTCCCTTCTTGATGTTCGGATCAGTTGTTATGGCAGCAGCTGTAAAAATACGAGTCCTTCTTCTGACCCAAGTCCACGCCCGTTTCCTCTGGAAAAACAAAGAGAAGTAATGTTGGTGCTAAATTCTCTGGTCACTCTTTTTGGATACTTTAACGACGTCCTTAACCACAGAGATAGGAACTCCAAAATCCTTCCTGGTCAGGGAGCAAACCAGCTAAGACCTTCTTCAAACCCACTAAAGCCAATCTCCAGGAACAGTTTTTTTTTTTTTTTAAATGCAGCTGATTTTAATGTTTCCCAAACACTCAGACAGCCTCTAGTGTACAATGTGAAAGCTGGCTGAGTCTGATCACAAGAAAAGACAATCACTGCTTTCCTCGATATATAATAGGGTCTATATGACCATCAGTTTGAGCACCGATATGGACGAGGACACATTTTCACTACTTCTTTTAGCTTAGGGGTCTAAAGCAGTGGCCGCTCTTTAGCGTTCCCCTTGAGGCTCTCTGGAGCTTTTTCAAAAATGTATGAAAATCGTTTTTTTGTTGTTGTTGTTTTAATATGGTGTGCAGGAGGTCAAACAAAAATTAATTATGTTTTCCAATGCTGTAAACATTCGTAAAATAAATAAATTTAATCAATTTGCGTCATAGCCATAGAGATCATTGGTCATAACTTGCAACCAGCGCCAGGCAAACAAAGCAGTGGGTGTGTCTCAGACCATGGATCCCAAAGGTGAAAAAAAAAGAAGATAGCTGATGAGAAAGAGGATTCAAAGAATGGACCGAATCATTTGCTTTCATTATTAAAGCGGAAGGATTGCCTGCATGTTCGCTTTGTAATGAGAGGTTGTCAAAAAATAAAAAATAAAAAATTAGAAAATTATTTCCAGGGAAGACTAAATATGCAGCCAACCACCAAGTTGGGAGGGGAAGAAAAAGTGCGATTACAGAACTTCAGGATAAATTAGAGGAGAGCAAAGATAGATTTAAGAAGTAGATTGCATCACCAAACTCCACTACTGCTGCTAGTTTGGATGCAAGGATGGAAAACCGTCCACAGATCCAACAGGTAGCGCTCTGATGCAGATATGTGAACTTTCTTCAATATTTTCCCCAAATCCTCAAAATAAAAATCACACCAAGGAACGATGGTGATGGAGGATGTTCTGAAGATATTCCGTTAGGTTATGTGCAACGAGTTGAAGGGACAATTTAACCTGTTCATAATTTATTCTTTATGGTACGCCAGCATTCATAACACGTAGGCGAATGACTGTCCCCTAGACATCCGCGGTTATATTTTTAATATTTATATATTTTTTTAAACAAAGCGGAGTGAGTATGACGTCATCCGCGCGCCGGACCGGAGTTATATACACTCAGCTTTTCACCAGCTACCTGCTGAATACCAGAGGGAAACGATTTTACTAAAGCCTTTTAGATGCACTTGTAGAATATAGGCAACTTAGAAACAAGGAACAAAAGTGAAATAAAATATTATAAAAAGAAAACGACTTTCTATCTGGACCTAGATATGCTTCCACAATAAACAGTCATCTCATAAAGCAGGTTCTGCTCTGAACTGTCAGGGAACCGCTAGGAATCCTTCACATATCTTATAGAGAGCAGAGGGTTCTAAATTAACCACAGAGATGTCTGATTAAGCTCAAAATAGCAATTTCTGTTTAAAGCAAAACCCCTTTGTAGTGATTTTTAAATACCTATGTTACATATTTTAACTGAACCAAATCTATTACAAATAAAGTCCAAAAAATTCCATCTGGATTTTAGAAAGTCAGGATTTTACAACTACCAAACAAACAAAAATATCTCAATGTGTGCTTTTCTATTCTTTTGTTGATGCACCTTTTAAAACTTCAACACTTTAACACAGCCCCAACCATTAAGAGCAAGGAGGAAAAGTCTCACCTGTCATAAACTGGAAAGCGGAGCTGTTGTAATCCTCAGCTACTTTCTGGAACAGCTCATCTAGAAAACAGGAGAGTAAAGCTTGTCACCTTCTGCTGGTTCAGACATCATGGCCTGCTAGAACAGGTCATAAACTCTGAGTTCCTATTGGTTTGTCTTTTCCATAATGTTTAGCGTTTGTATTTAAAAGATGCTCTAGAACATTTGAGAAAAAAGTTCCCCTAGTCGGGTTCTATGATCTGAATGTTCAACAAATCCTGAACCTAAACCATCCTGTGGTTGGTTCTGATCCAGCTGAGCTGGAAAGGTTAGTGACTTTTCTTTCACTTCTATAGAAGTTTAAGAAAGTCCTGAACTGGAATAAAGACACAGGCTGGTATATTGTTTGTGAAAATCAAAACATGAAAGCCTAAATGCCAAAGACAGCTTGGTTATACTCTTCCTTTTAAAAAGAAAATTCAAAATTCATTCAAATTTATATTAGTTCCGTCACTAAAAATAAAACAGAATAAAATTAACCATATACAAATTAAATTAAAAGATTAAAAAATCTGGTTTTGTACTGTAGATCACAGAAACCTGAAGTCTGGAAATGTTTTAAACAGTTTCCCTTTTCCCCAAACTAATCCAGACATGAAAAAAAGTGTAAAAATCTGTCATAATCATAATATTTGTAGACGATGTAGAATGTTGTATGCTCAAGCTAATACCCTGGCTCATAAATTTGGTGCACAGACTGATGTAGTAAAAATGTAACTATTTAATGCATATTGTACCTCTCTGTACACTGCTCACCTGTGGGCTACATATAAAAAAGATCCAGCCTGCAAAGGCTACAGGTGGCCTGTAATGATGTTCTGCAGGTACTTTTGAAATGGCCAAGATGGTATAGCGCGAGTGAGAGGTTTGCCACAGCAGACTCTTGTAAAACATGATAGTTTTATCTGTAGGATAAATGCATCTGGCAATGATATTACACACAGGGCCGGATCTATCAAAGGTTTGCGTGTATAAAAACGTGAGCTATTTCACTGCGCACGCTAAAAAATGTACAAACTGATCTATCAACAGCGTGCTAAAATGATTTGGTCTTTAA